GGTCAAGGCTTTAATGCTCACAAGGATAAGAAGGGCCCAAAAACAATAGCTGAGATGAGAAAAGAAGAAATGGCGAAGGAGATGGACCCTGAAAAACTAAAAGTAAGCAAAATTCTTAGTGAAGGTTTACAGTCAATGTGTCATTATTCATACTGAATAGGTTTAAAACTCCAAGGTTACAATTCTGTCCTCAACCAGACCACATCAACAGTGCCTTATTCAGTGTTGCTGTCTGGGCTGCTGGTCTTCCAACATCACTCCAGCCCTGATTAGCAGGTACAGCTAATTGAACTAATCCTCTGCCTCATTAATCTTGCCTGCTTTGGAATTCTCTCATCTCTCCTCAATAAATTGCCAAACTGCAGATCTATTAAGATGGGAAGGAAATTCAGTCTGTCCTGCTCTATGTTTGAAATATGAAACCACAATTTCTGACTATTCCATCTAATGACTGAAATGTTACCAAGTCAGTATTTTTAGCAGGGATATAAAAATTAATGATCCATGAGAGACAGACAAATGTCTTCCAAAGGTTTTCTAAAGTATGGAAAGAAACGTAAGCTGCTCCTTGGAGTCATTGCTATTCAAATGAAGAAACTTTGTCCTAGTGGAATATCTAATGTAAGGCATAAATTGAGACTCACATTCCTTTCTCCAGGTTCTGGAATGGATTGAAGGGAAGGAGAGGAACATAAGAGCCCTGCTGTCCACAATGCACACAGTGCTGTGGGCAGGGGAGACCAAGTGGAAACCTGTGAGTATGGCAGACCTTGTGACACCAGAGCAGGTGAAGAAGGTGTATCGACGGGCAGTGCTTGTCGTTCATCCCGACAAGGTACGGCTCTCCTACTTTCACTTGTTCAGACATCGTTGTTGTTATAAAGTGTGGGGTGTGATTGCTGAATTTATTGTGCAAACAGCTTAGTAAAAGGTAGCTCATTATTTCTGATGATTTCTGAAAATCTGACGACTCTCACCCCATCCCTGGAGGTGTTCAAGGCCAGGCTGGGTATGGCTGTGAGCAACCTGGTCCAGTGGAAGCTGTCCCTGCCATAGCAGGGGTTTGGAACAAGATGAGCTTTAAAGTCTTTTCCAACCCAAATCAGTCTGTGATTCTGTAACCACTCTCAGCCCCAAGACTGTGCTCGGTACCTGCCGCTCCAAGCAGCAGAGACTCAGATCTTCAGCTTTTGTCACCCTCACTTTGACTCTCAGCCATTCTGCTGGTGGACAACAGCCCACAGTACTGTGCCAGCTAATGGAGATTCAAATCAAACTCCTAAAATGGAATAATCGGGTTATCTGATCACCCAGCTTGTGGTCTTGCTGCTTACACTTGCTGATCAGAGTGCAATGACTCCATCTGGGACAACCTATGGTGAGGACTTTTAAGGAAAGGGGGGCCCTGAGAGATTCAGGGCAGTGGGCGAGGCTTGGGAAGGTGTAGGCTGCCCCAAGGCTTGCAGGAATGCTGGTTTAATCAAGGAACTGTGTCAGATGCCAGCTCTTCACCTTCAGTGCAGGTAAAAGGCCTCTTGCCATGCCTGCCTTACATTTATTATGCCCTTGGGACAGTGCTTTGTCACACCTGGGGGGTTGTGAGCTTTGAGGAGCAGAAGGGCCAAGATATTCTTCAAATGTAAAGAAGGTAAGCAGCCCTCCAGAGTAGCTCACTTTTGTCAAGGAATAAGTGTAAATTCATGGAAAGTGAACAGTAAGTGCTTGAGAATCTCCCTGCTCACATGCCAGCTGTGTGGGGTTGGATTTGGGAGCTGTGATATCCCTCTCTCTGTTTCTATTCCAGGCTACTGGACAGCCATATGAACAATATGCAAAGATGATATTTATGGAGCTAAACGATGCCTGGTCAGAATTTGAAAACCAAGGACAAAAACCCTTGTATTAGGTACTTTCTCAGTCTCCACTACAGACCCGTGCTAGTGCTTATATAGTCTCTTGTCACAAATGTCACAGAACAACCAAACTCCGGCTGGAAATTCAGAAGTTTCAGGAAACTAAGAGCCTAATACTTATCACGAAGAACAAGAGAAAGGTTTCCTAACACTTGTCTCAAGAATCCTGAGCTCAGAGGAACTCTGGCCACCTGGCTCACACTACCAGAGCCTCGGGGTTACAGTTTCTTGTAACTTTTATATTTTGCTTTGGATTCCAGTGGGATGAGAGAGAACACATACTGGGAAAGGTGGAATTGTTCTGTCTCCAACACAGTGTAGCTGGTGAATTTCCTACTTTTTTTTTTTTGGTGTGATATGTGATATGACAACACTTCAGTTGAGCTCAACAACTGGTGGTGAAGCCTAAACTTCGATGTACTTTTTTTTTTTTATTGGGTTTGGATCAAACTTTATCAAATTTAAGTGCTCAGATGTGGTTTAGACACACTTCTAACAGTCACCATTTGCTGCTTAATTGCTCATATAGTGTAGTCTGCCTGAATAGAGCCCAAGCTGAACCCTGGGTTAGGTCAGCGTGGCAGCTGCCCGCTGCTTTATGCATTAATCCTGTACTTCACCTCACAGTCCAGCAGTGCAATGTGCAGAAGAAATTCCTCAGCAAGTGTCTTTTAAAGCAAGCAACGAGTCATTGATGTTAAACAGCACTTGGCTGGTTTGTTAAACAGCAGTTTTGGGGGGAAGGGTGAATCCACGTTTGTAGAAGTGAGGAATGAGCGTGTATTGCATTTCCCATGAAATTCTCACCAGCAGCTTGAAACCATCAAACACAAAAATATCAATAAATCAAAGCTCTGCTGCAAAGTTTTAGAAACCTCCCAGTCTATAGGTAACACTTCCTCCTCCTGAGGATTCAGAAGACTTTTCCCAGCCCACTTGTATCACCTTTATGCCTTTATCAGCTTCAGAGCACTCGGCCAAGGCTCTTGGCAGGCTGCAACCTGTTGCAACTTCACCTTTCAGATCGTGGTGACCAGGTCTGATCATTGAGGTAAATACAGTGCAAATTGATTCTCTTTAAAGTTTATATTGGACCAAAGCAGTAACATCACAAGGAAATATCCCTGATGCTAAAGCTGAAGCAGCTTCCCTAGTTAAAAAGCAAGTTCAAATTCAAACTTCACCCCAAAATCTGGTATTCTTTTGTAGAGTTACTAAAGGTAGCAGTTTATTTACCAACATGTTGTATCTGTATTTGAGGGATATTCAGCAGACGGGCTGGAAATCGTATTTACTGCTTCAGGAACAGGTTGCCATCTGATGTGAGTCTTTAAAGTTGGTGGTTTTTCAAGACAATCCACTACTTGTTGCACTTACATTTTCAAGTGGCAAAGCTATTACTGCAAAGACAGTGTGTCAAAGTACATTGCTTTCTGTATAAAACTCATCCTTTTGTTGTATTGGTCCATTATTTACTACCATTAACTGAAAATGTGAAACCAACACATAGGTCTCCTTTTATATAAAAGACCTTAAGATAATAGTAACAAACTGGATGTTATTTATTAATGTTTTGATCCAGTATGTGCTTGTCTTATTTAAAGAGATAACTGGAATGTGAATCATGTTCCTGTGATTTGTTGGTTTACTGTTTCTCATTCACATTTGTAGATATTGTGACCTATGCCTATATAATAAAAAGGATCTCATTACTATAACGTACTTTTTTTAATGATGAAAACAACATTAGCTTTGTATGGAGTTTGTCACAGCACATAACTCTGGATACTCATCCCTTTACAAGATACAAATCCATCCATTAAAGTTTATCTACCAAAAAAACTCCTATGCCACTTAAGCTTTGATTACTTCCATCCCTAATGTTTTTATGGATGCATGAAAGTATTAGGAAGTATGTATACCAAAATAGTTAACTAAAAAAAAAAAAAGTTCTTGTCATATCTGGTAGTGACAGAGGTTATCAATGTTCAGGTTTACTGTTTGACTCAATTATTGTAATTTTTGTAAATACGGTATATACTCAATGAAATTGTGACTGGTCTGAAACATTTGTACATACATTAAAAAGCTCAAATTAACTCATATTCAGGTATGTTTTGTGCTTGTGACCAGCCTGAAAGGTTAAAGTCCTACCACAGCTCCTGTCGTGAGGGGTGGTGTGCCCTGGCCAGGGGCAGTATTGCTGCTGTAAGTGGTCATTACTGCCTGTGGTTATCCATAGGTTGGCATTCCAGGTGCTTTTCCCAAATTAAGGTGTTTTGGAAACAACTTGTCATTGCTGTTGTTATGCTAATGTGCTTCAGAGACCCATAGCCAGGCAAGTCAGCAACGCCAAAATTTTCACTTGAAGCATTCAGCTGTTTAAGCCCGATTTAATTAGCCTTCTTGGCTCAAAATTATTTAAAATTAATAATGAAAAATGGGGACAAATCTCTATCATGGAGATATGAAACGAGAAGAAATGAGAGGCAGGGGATGGGTTATCCAAAGGGCTGTCCAAAATCTCCCTCAAAAAGGCTGTTCTTGGGGCAGAAAGGGTGTTCTTAGGTCAAAACGGCCATTCTTGGGGCAAAAAGGCAGCTCTTGGGTAAAAAATGTGGGGTCAAAAGTGGCATCTCAAAAATCCAAGGCTTGAGAAATATTGCTTTAAAAAACCCACGTGCCCTTCTCAGTGTGGATTAGCAGAAGGGATGATGCAGACCCTGAGAAGGCACTGCATGAGATAAACGGGCGCCCCGGGCCCATTTTTTGGGGTGAGAACAGGGGGGTTCAGGAGTACCCTGCAAGACGGCAGCGACTGAGGGGCGGAGGCGCTTTAAAACGGTGCTTTTGCATTCAGATCGCGGCTGTGCCCACACATATATGCACTCATCACACACATACGTTTATCACATACCGTATATAAAACAAACACGTATATTAGCGCCGCTATCCGCTCCACAGCCCCGCGCGAGGGCCGCTCCCTCAGCAGGCCCCGCCCCCTCAGCAGGCCCCGCCCCCTGTCGCGAGGGCGGGAACCTCTTTTCCCGCCCCCTCCGCCTTCTTAGCGCGGGCGGTCACGTGATGCGCGGGGGGGCGTGGCCAGAAGGCGGAAGTCGCCTCAGGAGCCCGGACATGGCGGGCGTCAAAGGTACTGAGGGCTTTTCCCTTCCTCCTTCCCCGGGCTTCCCGCTCGGGGAGCGCCCAGGCATCGCCTCAGCGCGGGAGCGAGCGGCCGGCCGGGAATGCGGGGAGGGATGCCTGGCCCCCGGGGAGGCGGTACCCATCCCTTGTGAGGTGGTTCCCGGTCCCGCGGGAGGGATGCCCGGCCCCGCTGAGGTGGTGCCCGGTCCCCGGGGGGAAGGTGCCCGGTCCCCGGGGGGATGCCCGGCTGCCGCCTCACCGCCCGCCCTGTGCCGTTGCAGCTCTCGTGGCCCTGTCCTTCAGCGGAGCCATCGGGCTGACGTTCCTCATGCTGGGCTGCGCCCTGGAATACTACGGGTGAGCGGGCCGGCTGACTTCCCAAAGTTTCTCCTGCTTCAGATCTATTAATTGGGATCTTACTCTCATTTTATTGAGCTGTTTGGCTCTTCCAGCAGTTCCCCACTTCCTGGCTCTTGACACGTGGCGGTTTGTTGTGATTAAAGGCCACTTCCTTAGCCGGTATTTGCATTTCCGTTAAAAAAAAATTGACCGCAGACAGCTCTGTGCTGTCTCTGGAAACGCTGTGCCAGGTTGCTGAAGAGCGATTTTTAGCCTCGCACAGTCCTTTCCCTTAATTTCCTGTTTCTTTTAACCACCCTCCCACAAGGCTCCAATTGGGATGTCCCCGCCCGTGGAGGTTGGAACTGGATGAGCTTTGGGGTATTTTCCTTCCCAAACCGTTCTATAGTTCTGTGATTCTGTGTCTGTAACACTTCGAAACGCAGAGGAGGCTGCTGAGGGCTCTGACACAGAGATGGGAGTGCCGGGGTGTGCCTTCAGCCAGCCGGGTTATCCTCTCATTTGGGAAAGCTGCTCCTATCCTGCTCGTGTTCCTCTTCCCTCTGCGGTGGGAGCTGAATCAGCAAAGTGATGCAAATGTAAAACAAATTACCATTTGGTTGTGTGAGGGGGTGGTTTCTGCTCTGTGAGTGCTTGTGCCAGGGAAAGTGAGGTGGGATTGCCACTTTTTGGGTGAAATCTTGTGGCTGCTCCCCTTTTAAAACTGTAAAGTAGGATTAGAGCCATTGCAATAATTTTTCTGACTGAAACATCCATTCAACTGATTACACATTTTCTTTTTCCCCCTTCCCAGTGTGTACTGGCCTCTGTTTGTGTTGATATTTTACTTCATCTGCCCCATTCCCCACTTCATTGCCAGAAGAGTGAGTGATGATAGTGATGCTGCCAGCAGTGCCTGCAGGGAACTGGCCTATTTCTTCACCACAGGAATTGTTGTCTCAGCTTTTGGATTTCCAATAATCCTTGCACGAGTTGAAGCAGTAAGTTCTTGCTAATTTTTATTTTTAGACACCAGTTGCTGAGAAGAGTCTTTAAATGCACTGTTGCTGCCTGTAAATCCTGTCTCTAATTTTATTATTTAATGTCTCCAGATGAAAACAGTCTGCTGAAGTTGTGTCAGTGCTGCTTTTTGACCTGAATGAAGGACTTGCGTGACTGAGAAGTTTTTAGCTGTTTTTCTTTCCCCCAAGATTTGTTTTGGTCTAATACAAGATAACATCTCCTCCTCCATCTCATGCCTCTCTGTCTCATGATCCTTTGCATCACCCCTTGCACCAGCTTCCTTATTTTTATCTTGGAATCTCTGCTTTCTCCATTTAGGATGCTGAAAACTTGGTGACTGGAGTCCATTATCAGTTAAAAGATAAAAGGCCAAACTTCCAGAGCTGCCCTTCTGGTTTTCAGAGCATTTCCCAGGCTCTTGCTTTGTCCCCTCAGAGCCTGAGGAAACTCTGCTTAACTCCTTTTCTCTTTGCTTTTTGAGCTGCTCTTCAGGGGGGAGATTTTTGTCACATTTATTTGCCACGCAGAGAATCCCCTTGTCCCGTCTCCCAAACTGCCCCATGACTTTTTTGTTGTGTTATTTTTTCCCCTTCAGTCTTTCAGTTTTTCTTGAAACTCGTGTGCTGAGTTAGAGTTTATTTTTAATGTCCAGTTTCCCTGACGCTTCAGTTCTGAAGTTGTGGATCTGGCAGTAGGAGAAGCAGAATGACCACGAGAGGGAACTCTAATTCACAGCTGTATCTTTAACTCTTTAAATGTTGCTTATTTGAGTAAAATCAGTTGGACAAATTGTTAAAAAAAAAAAGGCTATTTACTTTCAAGACCATTTTTTTAATGCTTGTTAGTTATTTGAAAGGAGATCTTTTATTTTGTTGCATGGCTATGAAAGGAGAGCACTGATTTCACAACATTTCTCTCTGATTTAGGTATGTTTTAGTGATTTCTATGATGAGTGGGTTTTTATCATTATTATAAAAATATTTTAGTTGTTTTATTATATAAATTTTATATTATTTTATTATTTATATTATGCATAGATTGTTTATATTATATATTTATATTATTTTCCTTATTATTTTTCTTATTGTTTGATTATTTTTTTATTCTACACCGTAACACTAGCCTGTTGAAGTGTTGTATTAGCAATATGAGTGGCTGCTAGTTGAATAATTGGCCACATAAATTGAATGATTTATTATTTGTCTTTTTCTTTATGCTTAGCACCTTCCTGTAGTCTTTTTAGTGTCTCTAATGCATAGAAATATCTGCCCTGGACTTTGATTTGCTTTGATTGTTCCATTTCCTTGCATTTCAGATCAAATGGGGAGCCTGTGGCCTGGTGCTGGCTGGCAATGCAGTCATTTTCCTTACTATTTTAGGCTTTTTCCTTGTGTTTGGGAGAGGAGATGACTTTAGCTGGGAGCAGTGGTAGGACTTCACCCTGGTGCTGGTAATATTTACTATTTTACAGCCTTTCTCACCATACTCTGTGTATATGTATAGGTATTATAACATGTGGTGCATAAACATGTAGCTTTATCAGTCCATAACATGTTTTTTTATGATGCATTTCAGCCAAAGGGACAGTGGTGACAGTTTGGCTTAAAGTATTCAGTCAAATCTGAAATGGCTATTGCAAATTTGTCCTCTAAGTTTACAAAACAAGGAGTTTTCCCTGTTTTTTTCACTATAAATGCATTAACTTTTGGGTTAATTGGTATTAACTGATATCACATTGATACATGTGACACTGGTCCACATTCCTGTTGGGTTTTGACCTTGTAATCAAAGTAGAACAATATAAAGATTATCCTCATTGATATTGCTTAACTTGGGCAATCTTTCTGCTTTGATTCGGGATGAGTTAATATTTAATTTCACCTGAATTGTAATTTTATTGGTTTTTTTTCTTGATAACATTAAATGAAGCATAAGTTATGCCAACTCTCTTACTACCTAATGAAAGCAAAAGGAAATAACCCTGGTTAAAAATCCTTCTTTCCACTTATGATGTTTATTTAAAAGATATTTTTCTCCCCACCAAGATATTCTGTGTCCCTACTCAACCTAACAGTTGGGAATATGTTTGGGGAATAATATATTTTAATGCTCAGAACTGACATTACTTGTCTTATGAAGGTTCACAATAGGAGAAACTGCTCTCAGGACACTTAAAATCACAGTCTAGTGTTCAATTCTTTATTTTTATGTGTGAAATGCCTGAACTTCAAAGAACTGAGTGTTCTGGGTAGGGCTTCTTCTCATTGCTTTTAAAACAGACTTATTCAATTACTATTTTTTTGTCTGGGAAAAAGAAAGATTATTACACTAAAACACTATATTTTTAAGTAGCATTATGCTGGTAAAGATGCACATCATCACACTTAGAAAAGTAAGTTTTGTTACTGCAGCTTTGTGAGAATACATTCTGATACAACCCAGAGCAAAGGTTCAAAATGGATGGATTTTCCATGAACACTCAAATACTGGGGACAGAAATCATTCTGTCGTCCAAGTAATGGAATATGGCTCAAGTAGGAATGGCAAATCAGGTTCCAGGAAGGTTAATTCCATGTTTTAAATTGAAATATCAGCTGTGTGTGAGGGGAACAGTTCAGTGCTCGGGAATGCTGTGTTTTATACTCAAGGGTGTCCAGACTGTTGTTCTGGTAAGAGAAGAATTAACATGAAAGCACAGTTTTTCCTGGATATTAATGGTACATCAAAGATATAGCAGGACATACTTGTCAAAATGTATCTTAGTGTCTTCTTCCTGGCTCTGGATGAAATCTGCTGGACCTTACTCCCATGGAATTATTTGGCCTAATTAAAAGCCAAGTTCTTTGGAGTAAGCATCATTTCCATGTCTAAGCCCTGCTTTGATTTTTGAAGAAGTTATCTTTTTTTTCCTATACAATGGCATTTTTTACTCAGATTAATAAATCAGCAACTCAAATTAATAAATCAGCAACAATAATACCCAGTTTAAGTGCCTGATCCTATAAATGCCTAATGCCATTGCTAACAATTCTATTTAACTCCTGATGGATTAGGGTTGGATTTTGGAGTGGTTTTACTCCTTAGCATTTACCTACCAAAGGCTGCAAAACTACTCAGTTAACTGAGTTCTGCTTTCAAAGTGTGCTGGTGGCACAGGGGGACACAGGCAGGAAACAGGGACAATCTAAACTGAACAGGAGGAGGAGAAAGTGCAGCCCTGAAGGGAAATTGCTTTTTGCCAAATTATCCTGCTGTGCTGTGTTCCCTTGGGCTGGCTGGGGTTGGTGGGGACCTCATGAAACAGCAGGTGAATGTTGGATGGAGAAGGTCGATGCTTTTTATTTTTATTCTTTTGAAACAATTACATGCACTAATCCTTAATGTGAACTTCATGCAGTTTTCACATGGACTTCTTACATTTAACTCTTAAAATTGTTTTGATCAGTGTTTAGATCATGGAAGTCTTCCTTGGCCTCTATAAAAATAAATTTGCTTGAATCAAAGAGGGTAAAAAAAAAATATTTCATTGCTTTGTTTTTTTTAACCAGAACTTCACTCACTCACCCAAACCTGGTGCTCTGCTGGTCTGTACTGGGCATACTGTCACCATCCTCCAGTAGCAATTTACTGTGGTTTCTCTGAAATTGTTTTCCTATATGGAAGTGAATACTATGTATCCAAAGTGCCTTAATTTCCATACTATGCCGATTTTTTTGTGAATGCATATACATGGCTGTATCACTGTGTTTCATAATCAGCTGAACATCTGCGGCTGCATTTTAGAAAGCTTCCTTGTCCTCTAATGGTGTTTCCTGTAACTGGGAATGCAGTGCAGCTTTTGGGACTTTTGTAAACACTGTTTTTATCTTCTGTGATTGCCACGTTCTTGAGATCATGAAGTATTAAAACATGGACATTAAAATACATTCTACTTTTCTTTTTGAGTTGTCTAATAAAACTGACCTTTTGAGTTGTCTAATAAACGTATCTGATGCTTAAATATTTGTCTGTCTTAAATTTCAAGAGGTGAGAAGAAAGATAAAGCATAGCTGGTGGTGCTTTCCTGATGGCATAAATGGCAAATTTCAGAAACCGTGAAGGTGGAATTACTGTAGAATATGTTGCAGAGGCTTTATTTAAATATGCAGGTAAATTATCATCACTTGTCTCTTAGTACATGGTAAATCTGTGAGTTTTTTAAAAGCCTTCCATAAAAAAGATGGGATGTAAGGTAGTACTTGACCTCTTCCACTTTTCAGTCTGGACCCTGCCAGCACTGGTGGGCAGGGGTGCAGATGGTATCAAAGCTCTCTTTCATCTCCAGGTCAGTTCTCCTGCAATTAAGGTGGTGAATGTATTAAAGTGGCTGATTTTGATCCCAGCAGAGCTCGTGAAGGTGGAGCCTGCTCAGTTATTTCATCAGTTTCTGAGATCCCCACTATCAGGAGAAGGCTGAGTGCCTGTTCTCAATAGCTGGAGCTTTCTGTTCCTAGCAGTCACCTCGAGCAACCAGGCTTTGGAGAAGGTGAGTGTATTGCTTTTTGGATCAATGAGCTGCTGGCTTGGCCCTGGTTTGGAAAAGGAATGTTTGGGAATGCTGTTCTGAAGTGCCCAGCTCATGTTTGGCACAGAGAGTCACTTCAGGCTCTAGGCTTGGTTCCTGAGCTCCCTTATTTAACCTGCTGCTGGATTTGTGAGTATTATCTGTGTGGTGTAACTTTTATTTCCTATTCCTCCCGCCCTTGTTGGAGCTGCTTGGTTTTGTACTTAACAGAGATGTTTCCTGACAACATATGTTTAGCTGAAGGAAAAAAACCCTATATAAGGGGGTGCTGGTCAGGCTGGCACTGATTTTGTAGGCTCTTCATTCCTCTAAGAAAGCTGGTAACCTTCCTAACTAGTTGTTATGACCTCAGGCAACTTCCTAAAACCTTTAAACAGACTTTAATCCCATAAAATGAATGTAAGCTCATTAATACCCAGGAGTTACCCAAACAAACTGTCCTGGTCAACCACATATCAAATTGTATTGTTAAACTGACAGTGATGTAAAGCTCTAAAATGATCTCTAACCCTGATCTCAATCCTACCACAGCAGGACTTTTAAGATCCTGCATCTTTCGCTCTGCAGGGATTGTTTCTGGTCTCTGGTAATGGATGAACAGACTATATTTCATTGAGCTGGATGCTCACCAGGTACTAATGAGCCATTGATTTGTTTAAGTGGCTCCTGCAATACACGACCAGTGTGTACTGGAGGGCTTTACAGGGAAGTGTCTCCTGATAAAATAGGTAAGGAAGCTCTGGCTGGTGAATTGTGATTAAATTTTAAAGATCAGCTGGGACACTCCTAGGGAAACATTTTCTCCAATGGCTTGTTCTTGTATTTATCTTGTTTTATTGTTTTGCTCTTGTCCTTTATGCTGAGATTTGTTTGAGCTGTCTCTGGGTTATATTAAAAAACGGGTCACAGTTGTTTATTCCCCATGACCAGTATTTCAGCAGGAGCTGTTCCACTCTTGGGGGGAATTATTACTTCCTGTGGACTAGTTCTAGATTGTAACAAATACTCTGAATACTTATCTTTCTGGTGGACTGGTTGGTTGGTCCCTGCTTCCTCTCCCAGGAGGATGATCATTCCTTGTCTCCATGTGCAGGAGACTCTGGCCCTCAACACCTGGAAGTCCTTGTGGCCACTTGGGAGGTGGATAGTGCTGGGGAGAGGAGAGGAATTCTAAAAACATACCTCTTTTCTCCCAGAAAATTCTTGGGGGATAGGAAGAAGGCTGTCTTCAGCTGAGACTCAACCCATGGCTTTGTTTAATGGAGTAATTTATGTGTATTGAACATAATTGGGCAAAATTACCCACAGAACAGCCTTGCTTTTGGATTGTTGCACATAGGGAAGACTCTACTGTGGAATACTTAGAACAGGGCTGTCTGTTGAAATGGGGAATTTCAAATATGTAGTTCCAGCAGAGCTGCCAGGTGTTGTGCTCTGAGACTCTGAGATCTTCTTTAGCTCTTTGCTTGCTGACAGTTGAACTGGCATTCACTGCCTGTGTTATATTGTATTTTCAATGACATGTTTTCCTGGAGAATGCTGATAAAATTAACTACCCACTTTTGTGGAGTTAAAAAGACAAACCACATGCACAAAACCCCAGAAATCATATTCAAGCTCAATTTTTGTAAATCTCTAAATGGAGTGCTGAGACAAAAGCAGGGATGTTGGTGTCTGGTAGATCCAGGAGTTCAGCTGAGGTTCTCAGTGCCAGTGAATTTTAATTTTATCCCCTCTTTGAGCTTCATTTTCCAATGTAGTGACTGGTGCTTTCCTTTTCTTGGTCAGTCTGAATAACTGACAGCTGCTGCTTGGATGTTTTTGTTTGCTCGAGGATTTGGAAACAAGTTAAACTGTATTTATTGTGCCTTACAAAGCATATGCTTGGAATAGGAGGATTGATGGTGACATTTGTATGTCTTGCTTACCCTTTGTTGGGACTGTTTGGTCTGGGCTTAGGATTTCGTTCCTCATTTTGTTGTGCCCAAGTCTGGGGCATACTGGGCATCCCAATATAACAGGAGCTTTTGTTACTGGTTTTCCATCTTTAAAGAGGAAAAAAAAAGCCTTTCTACCACACAGAAACAAAAGCTGCAATAGTTGTAATGGCTGCTGATCAAGTTTGGGAGTTAGTGGGAATTTGGGATCACTGGGGTGGGGAAGGAGGGATGAAAGGCCTAATCCAGTTGGGTGCTGAATCCAATCTGAGTGTGCTCATGAGTCACTGTGGGACTCACTGGCCCTCTGTGTCTCCTGGCTGTGCCTCACACAAATCCCTGTCTTAAACACAGGACACTTCACCCAGGAGAGGATTTAACAGCTTGTCCTTGTTTCTAGTAACACAGCTCGGTGTCACCCTGTGTGGCCAGTATTTTTATCACTAAATAGTGATTGCAAGGAGACATTAAGATGTTTCAAACAACTGCATAATGATAAAAGCATTTCCCATGGAATAAGTCTCAAAAGACAACTCTGCTCTTAGTTTCATTTTAAAATATTAAGAAATGCAACATCTTTTTCATGCACAGAGAAAGTAAATTTTACCTTTTAAGTCAGGTAATAGAAACATAGCCAGTCCAGAACATGCTGTGTTTTTTCCCTATTCCTTCAAAGAAGATTGCATTCCTAACAAACATTTTGCTGCAGAAAAGATCTTAGTTTTCAAGGATCTTAATAGCTGGACTGATAGTCATTGGAAACAATTTCAAAATGCACAGCCTTTGCCTGGGAGTCTCAGAAGTGAATAATGTGCAGAGTTAATTAAGATTCAGCAAATATCCTCAGGATTGGGATTATTCAACTCCCTGTCGTCTGCCTAAAGATCAGCACAGGTATCTTGTCCCTCTCCTCTTTTACAGGGTTGTGCCACATCATTGCTCTGTTCTCCTCATCTCCTTTCAGTAGTTTTAGCCCTGCAAGGGAGGCACAGAAGGTCCCAGCTCCAAGTGTTGAGCTGCAGCTCTGTCCTGACTGCAGCCCTCACCTGAACTCTTGGGATCGCCCTTGGAACCCCCAGATCCCTGAACAAACCCAGGCCTACAGCAGGGCCTAAGGGTCCCCTCCCTGCTCCTCCTTTAGCTCGTTCCACTGAAAACAAAGCAACTGGTTGTCACTTGCAGGGTCCTCTGGAATAGGAGAGTTACTTTTAAGGTCTCCCAGTCAGTAATTTCACCCATCCCAGGGCTTCCCTGCCCTGGTGGGACTGAGCTGTTGTTACCTCTGGGTGTCAGCCAGCCCTGCATTCAGAACTCACAAACAGTCATTTCTGGATGGTATTAATGAGATGGAAGGAGGGGCAGGCAAGTGGCAATTTAGACAGAACTGTGTCATAAAATACTCATTAGTTCTGGATGGGAATTGATGACTGAGTTCTTACTGGTTTTTGACAGAAAGAGCCTAAAAATATTCAGTGTTCTTCTGTATGGACTGACTTCCTCAGCTGCATCAAGAAACCCCTCTGAGATGAGTTTCCTTAACCAGAGTTGGGCAATTCCAGTTCCTCCTTTGGAGTGCTCTTGCCTTGATTGTCCTTGTCCTCATTTGTCTTTTGGTGTCTTTGCTGTTAAAATCAGGACTTTGTTGTATCAGAGAATCCTGGAATGGTTTGGGTTGGCAGGGACCTTGAAGCTCATCTCATTCTACCTCCTGCCATGGGCAGGGACACCTTCCATTAGACCAGGTTGTTCCAACCTGGCCTTGGACACTTGGAGAGATGGAACAGCCACAACCTACAGTAGCATACAAGCAAGTGCTTCTTTTATATGTTTGTTTGTTGGTTTTGTTTGCTTATATGTTTAACACAATCAGGTTTAGGGATAAATTTGAGTTTGTGTTTTATAACCACAGCACTGCCTAACTTTTAAAACTTGTTCTCTCATCCAAGGGGGAGGCTTGGCGTTGAATTTGGGTTTGTGTTGAGGTGCTGGATGCGAAACTGTGTTGTTTGTAGCCACTTTTCTGTCAAATGCACAAGTGAAAGCAGAGGGCTTGGCTGGAAGGACAAATTCATTCCACCCTGGGGTGTATTGAAGATTATCCAGAGCCTAAGGAGAACAGGTGTATGGACAGCCTTGAGACTGAGTCCTTATTTCCAGAGGAACTGGCACGTGCTCTTAAGGAATGTGCCTTTTGACATTGTGTATTAATTGTGATACAAATCCAGCATTACTAGATAAGGCCAGTAATCCCATACCAGGATGCATCTCATTCATCTCCCAGTGCAGCTGGCACAGCAGAAGCATCTGGATTATATCCCTGATTTGCCCCTGTGTAGAGAAAAATGTTCAAAATTCACCATTTATCTTCACTTAAAAGCTTAACCCCAAATCCCCTAAAAGTCAGCAAAAAGCCTCCTGGTGGTTTCAGTGAATTCTGTCTGAGATCCTGCTCAGATGTGAACATGGAACAAAATATCTGACTAAAAATAAAGCCATAGT